AGTTGACATGTCTGCAGTTGTAGGTATGGTTGTGCAAGGTTAACCGGTAACTATCACCCTTAATGGATGATGCTTATGTGTTCTGCTTAACCAGTGGGGGCTGACCCTGCTTACCACAGGCACACAGGAGGCTGTTCCAGCCCCGGGGTCCTACTGTGGACAGGGGTTGATCTGGATGGCTGGATCAGCCCCTGTCTTGAAGGGCCCATAAGTATGGAGCAGCCCCTGTCCACCGGGTAACCTAGAGCAGCTCCTGTCTATGGTGGGGGGACGGCTCCAGCCTGGGCCCCAATGGGTGGAGGGGTGTGTGCTGCTCTAGCCCTGCTGGGCTAGAGTGCCCCCCTCACCTGTCTCCACTTTAATTGGTTAACGATTTAAACATCACATTTAACTGGTTAACCAATTAAACGAGATTTTACATCCTGAAGTGTAGGACGAAGTGGGATACAGATTGCTGTAATTAGCCATCAATCATGATTTTCAGTCTCTAACCAATGTATGAGTTTAAGCTCCCAGACTCGTCAAGTGTTGTCCAGATTTCCTTTGAGAATGAGGTCAGAAGTGGAGTGATTTGCTTTGTGAAAATGTAATGTTGTGTAAGCGTTAATATGTCATGGAGATTTTATGTATGTAGTGTAATACAAGCACTATGAATTTTGCTTATAGACCATATCCCTAGTAGAACAATAAGGCCATTTCAGACGTAACAACGGAACACAGATTACCTGGCGATAGGCCAGAAAAGGTGACCTGCATATTAATTGGTTTCTTGAGGCTAAATGTGAGGCTTATGTAAGCAGACAAACAAGTTGTACTTGGCAGCAGTTGTATAAATACATTTTGACAAATCTGATTTGTCTGAAAAAAGCAGGTAAGTTACTGAAGGGCAGCATAATTTAGATAATAGAGCTTTAGCCTTTAAACTTGTGCACATTAAGTCAGATTTGATTGGCTAAAGTACAGAAAGGAAACAATGTTGTGTAATGTATGCAGCCAGGTGGAAAAAATACAGAATAGTAAGCACAGGTCACTTTCCTTACAGTACATCAAGATGTCATTTGAAATAAGACTTTTAGCATTCAGCTAGAAAAGTTCCCTTTAAGGGGAATGAAGAGTATTGAATTTTTCTTGAGAGCTAGAGGCTAACTTAAGTTATTTCAAGCATATACAGTTCACAAATAATACAACAAAAGGTCTTCTAGCACTATTGAAAATATAAAGTTGTTAGTAAATTGGGCAAATACAAGCTTTTTAATGTCTTTGTTTGGAGGGAGATGTTTGAATGATAAGTGTGCATTTTTACATGGCAAAGGGAATCATTTTTTTTAATCTAAGACTTTCAGTAATTATTTTTGCTTTCAGTATTTGAGACACAATGTGAGGTTCCTTCAGTCGTGAAAACGTAGCTTTATTCTGCATATTTAATTTTAGAACTCTGAGATGAACTCTTATTCTGAGTATATTCATGGAAGTGATCAATTACTAAATTGAAAACAATTGCTTTCCAATTTTGAGGTGGCATATGATGATTTTTCTGTAAAGCTAGCTGCCATGCTGCATTAGTTGAGGAAAATTGATGTTCATGAACTTACATTTTTGATTATGCACAAGGACATTCTTCTAGTTCAAAGCAGGCTGGCAAAGGAACATGCCCACTTTGTGATACAGTAGCAAGAAAAATGAGATGAAGAAATGAAGAGCTCAACACTTGATATGTGTTGATGGGCTTGTTCTGCACTTATGCAGTTAATAACCCAAGTGAATATTGACCACTGGAAGTAATGGATGGGTTAATCTTAACTTAGCAATGAGTTGTTCTTGAGCAACAGGCTTTTCATGAACATCAAGCATGCAGGTTTTCCTCTCTGCTCTCCATGCCCCTCTGGCTGCATGCCTGCACAGCTCTTGATAACCTGCTGCACAGCAGTGCAACTTTAGAGGGAACTCAAACAGTGGTCTTGGTGTGCAAGGTGCTGTACAAACATAGGTACTCATCTAGGAAGTTCCTTCAGCATGCATAACTCAAAACATAATTTGTCACTCTACAGTCTATGCTATGGGAATATTCACATGTGTGAAGTCAAGTATATTTAGGTACTTTTCTCTGTCTGGGCCACAGAGTAGAAGGGTGATCACTGCTTCTGAGAGTTCAGTCTCAAGAAATTAGTTCAGTGGTTTGTACCAGTACTTTTAAAACCAAGCTGGAATGAGTCATATAGCTGCTGCTTGCATATTCCTGGTGTTGTCACTCCCTATTGTGTATCTGAGTAGTGGACACGTACAGTGGGACCTGATCCTCATTACAGTGGGACAACAGGTGAAGTTCCCCTAATATAGCAGTATGGGCTGCACCGACATGTATTAATTTCAGACCATTGGGTTAGCATATTAATAGCTGAACTGTAGATGTTATCATTTGCCTGCGGTAAAGAGGCTTTTGGCGAGTTTATAAAGTAAAACTATGTACAGCAGAGATACTGCCTAACTGAATTTTTGCACTATTGTCTTTAGTATCTACATTGTTCAATGACTTGAAATCAACAAATGTTGGGACTGTGCCTTAGGAAATAATGTGATTCTAAATTTCCAGCCTAAAAATACTAGAGAAAGAAGGCAGATGGTAGGCTTTGTAGAGCAAAATGCTTTGGCCTTATATTATCGTTAATCTAGCAAAACCATACACTGCTTTGGATTTCTTCTGATGCTTATAAATCAAAAGTTTACCTTGTGGTAGGCACAGGCTTTCTTAGTGAATGTGAAAAAAGGACTGAAGTTTGTGTAAGCATGTATTTTTGTTTTTGCTGTGAACTATTTCTTACATCGTTTTGGGTAAGTCACATTTTAAAATTGCCATTGATTTTAGTTATCTTAGTGTTTGTGGGCAGTATCTGAGAGACCTTGGGGGTAATTTTCAGAAATGAGTCCACGGATCGATTTGAAGTTACTCTTGTTGAGTGCTGTTGCTAATTGGAAATTCCACATTTCAGGTCCTATACCCAGAATCAGGTGCACTGTTGAAATTTTTGGCTTTAACCTCTTTATGCCTTGGATTACTTACCTTTTAAAATGGGGGAAGACACCTACCTTTCATACTGTGCTTTAAGGGCCTCAAATGAAAGCAGATGTGATTTATAATTAAAAACACATCTTAATAAGACCTTCACTTGAAAATCCTTCATCTGTGTGTCGCAGATGTGATTTATAATTAAAAACACATCTTAATAAGACTTCACTTGAAAATCCTGCATCTGTGTAGTATTTAAAAAGAAATACCTCAAACAATTTGTCAGGTTTTTTTTTTCACCCATTTAGAAAACTGCATTAGAAAATTACAGAATTACAAATCTCAACATAGACCTAAATTCTAACTTCTGATCTGTGACCTGCATCTCAGAATTCACCATAGTGCTTCTAAGATTAGAATCGGGCAGTGTGCTGGCAGAGCTAAAATTACAATTGAATTTAATGCCAGGATGTTTTGAAACAAAATACTTCTCATTAAGTCTTGGCAGGAAGTTAACCTCTTCTTACAGTGACCTGATGGATGCATGTTAGCTGTCTCAAAGAATACCTACCATCAGTCACCAATTAAATTTAAAAAAGGGGTGGTTTGTCATATAAACTTAATGTGTGACAATTCATCCAGGTAGCTATCATGTAATTCAGCTTTATAAATATGTGATTAACTCATTTTAGAAAATGACATTTAAAATGTAGTGCAAGATACCTTGCATATGTACCTTTATATTTTTTTAAAAGTAGTATTTGAAATGTACTGGATTAATCTGTTACGTTGGGTCCCGGGATATTGAATTGCTGGGGTATTGAATTAATTATTACATTCCAGTTTCTTTTTGAATGTCAGCCCTATTAAATAATGTTCAATGTCTTCATGGATATTTGTACCATCTTAGTTCTTGGTGTTTGGTTATGGATTCTGTCCTGGCAGCAGCTGATTGAGGAAAGCTTGAGAGACTGTCTCAAATCTCTCTGGCTTTCCATGTTTTATTTTGAGTTTATCCTATATCTTCAGTGGAGGCAAATAGTTATCTAAAGGTCACATTGTTTTAAAAGGAGAGTCAATTATAATACTTTGCAAACCAGTGAATGTACAGAGTTAGGGTAAGTGTGTCTGTGGGTGGTTTTTAGAATAGCTGCATTATTGCTGTTTCCAGTTTAGATTAACAAAGCTGTTGTGAGCACTGATAGACCTTACTCCAGTTTCAACTATGCAATAAGCTTTACTGCTGTGAGTAATGGCTTTGCCTATAGTAGGAATTTGCAAACCACTGTCAACAGTGGGGGCAAATATCCAGTGTAAATAAAGGCTCTTGCTACTTCTAGCACCTTGATTTTCTGGTGACTGTGTTGCCAAGTACGTAAGAGCCTCCATCTTGCAAACCAGTCTGCACCTCGTCAGAGTCTGAGTGTTCGTTTATATAGCAGGGCTAAAATTGAATTAAGCTATGCAACTTTAGCAACATCAGTTGTATAGCTTAAGTCGAAATAGCTTAACTTCGCTTTAGGTGCTGTCTACACAGCAGAAGTCGAAGGATGAACACTGTTCCTTTGACTTCCCTTACTCCTTGTAAAATGAGGGTTACAGGAGTCAAAGTAAGTCCTCTAGGTTGATGTAATTTTGAAATAAAGGCTTTTAGTGTAGATGCGCTCTTTGTTGTTTTGGAATAACTTCAGCTATGCCTAAATAACACTGCTGTGTAGACATACTCTGAGTGAATTCATTGGTGCTCCTCATGAGCCAGCATTCAGGACAGTAGCTTGGATGGTTTTTAAAACAAGGATTACACCAAAAGATGTAGTCATTGTTTGTATCTATTTAGCCTAGCTCGTAATAATGAAAATAAATTATTCACGTCTGAGATAATGATGTAAAATCCCCTTTAATTGGTTAGTTGGTCGAGGCTTACCAGTTAATTGGTTAACCATTCACGTCCTGGTCTGATTTTACAGTCTAATCGAAATGTCTCTGTTCTTAACAGGTACAACAGGCAAAACATCTTCCCCCCCACCTGTCTTAGACACAAGGCAGATGAATGAGAAACTAGAGACTATTTTATTTCAGCTCCGCCAAGTTACACGGGAGAGGGATGAGTTACGCAAGCGCCTTGCACTTTCATCTCCTGGATCAACCTTCGACGACTGCAGGTACAAATATTCGAAATGTCTCTGTTCTTAACAGGTACAACAGGCAAAACATCTTCCCCCCCACCTGTCTTAGACACAAGGCAGATGAATGAGAAACTAGAGACTATTTTATTTCAGCTCCGCCAAGTTACACGGGAGAGGGATGAGTTACGCAAGCGCCTTGCACTTTCATCTCCTGGATCAACCTTCGACGACTGCAGGTACAAATATA